TTTTTTTTTTTTTTTTGGTCAGAGTTTTGGAAAGATCCCATCCCTGGCCACCCCAATGTTCTCTCCCAAGTACTTCTTATGGGCCTTTGTAAAACTTGCTTAATATTAAGAGAATATGCAAGGGATCTTTATATTCTGAAAGGTATATTCAGTATGTTGTTTACTACTACAGAAGAGTAAAAAAGGAAAAAAGGGGTGCATTACTTGATTACTTGAGATAGAAGTCTAGTGATAAACTCCTACTTGACATACAATGTCTATAGGACTTGCTTAACTTACTATTTTAAAACTATTTAAATTTGGGTAACCTACTGTTCCTACCTAATTTCTAATAGTGTGGTGTTTTTAATAGGTTTAGGCTTTTATGAAGGTCAAAGAAATGGCATTTTGTCTAGTTTAAATTGTCTAAAACTGCTAGCATATTAACTTTAAAATGAAATCTTTATTTTGTAACTTTTGTTTTTATTATTATTTCAGATTTTTGTCCATTTAAATGACGAGTATTCTGTGGTGGGGATTCCTGTCTTCAGGTAAATATTCTTGTCCCATAGCATGTACATTGGACATTTCATTTTTTTAATAAATGAGAGAATCAAGTTGGCTGCTGTAATTTATTTTTACTTAATTAGTATCACTTGGACTGTCATAAATTTAGATCATATAATTTATCTAGTGTTCATGTGACTATCTCAGCCAAAGTTTTCTGAAATAAGAGCCTTAAATAGGCAGCTAAATCCAGTGGTCTTTTTTTTCAAAAGTACAGTATCCACTGACTTTTCCTTTTGTTTGAGTTTCAGTGAATATGACTACATTAAGGCTTTTATGTATGACAAGACACAGGCCTAAGAAGATAATTTCTTTAGGATTTCCTTTTTATGTGGACTGTCTCAGCTTGGTATCTCACCTTGGTTATTGTTTGCAGACTTCCACTGTCAAATAGAGAGTACATCAAAACTGCAGGACTGCGCTCTACTATAGCTTGGGCTATGGCATCTCTTGCTGAAATCAGTGTAAGCAAACATTAATACAGATTAGCACTAACTAACAATATAGGGTCCTGCATAAAAAAGAGTGGTGTTTGTCTGAGAGCTGAGGATTTTGTGGCTCAGCTAGTGGGAATAGTGGTAAGCTGATGGAAATCTGTTAGGAAAAATTGGATATAATTTTCCTCTTAACACCACTGGCCCTCTAGGCAGCACAGCAGTATTAAATCTGGATTTCAGAAAACATTTGAAGGTCTCAGAGATGGTCTGATGAAAGCAACCTGGACCCCCCGACCTGAAGTTCCTCACAGTCTCTCTCCCTCCCCCCTCAACGCCCCACAGTCTCTTTCTCCCTACCCTCTTACTATCAGACTGCTCAGGCTCTGTTCCCTCCTGGGTCATGGAGCACAGCATGTGGAAGTGTAGCCCTTGCCAGGCCATGCAGCAGTGGTGGGACAGGGGATGGAGTTTCCATGTGCTCCATGCCAGGGGGGGAATCTAGCCCAAGCCCAAGCCAGAGCTGAGCTGCACCTGAAAGTAAGGTCGGGGGAAGGAAGCAAGAGAGGGCTAGAAGCTGCAAAAGGCAAGTGGAAGGGGGAGGGAATGGCTGCTGTGGGTCTGGCTCTGGCCCTGACCCAGGATCCATAGCAGCCACCTGCCCCCCCCCACCATTGTACATAAATCGTAGATGAGCCCCCACTCCATGCTGACTGGGGGGGAGGGGACCTTGTCTTAGGTTTGAATAAATATGGTAATTGTTGTTTCAGAAAAGCTAAACATTTTGAGCTTCTCCCACATAAATTTATATAGTAGATACATTCCATTAATATCTAAAAATAAACTTTACCTCAAAGACTGTATGGAAACATGTGCCATGTTTCATGTGATACTGTCTTTACTGATTATTTTCATTATGTTGTGTTATACTGAATTTGATCTTGTAATTTTGCTGTTTATTGTCAACCTTTTTTTTTTTTTCAATGGGAATTTCTGGGTATTCAGCCCATCGTCAGAGTGGGCTTGTTGAATCAGAAGACAAATTGATGTTGTCTTGCTTTGTGTATAATATCCTTCTTATTTTTGTTTCCAGGCTGGTGCATTTGTGTTAGACCCCATGTGTGGATTGGGAACAATACTCTTGGAAGCTGCAAAAGAATGGCCTGTAAGTTCTAAGGTCCTAATAGGTAGGATGTTAATAAGATGGCATCGCAGTTCTATTGTATGTTTATTTTAAGAATGTAACTTGTAATTTAAGTGTGTGTTCTTGCTGGAAAATTGGAGCCAGGTTTATTTACAAAAACTTGCAGGTTTCTTTGGGGTTTTATAGGTAAGTTTTAGTTTAAAAATATTTCCAAGATATATAAAGAGCTCAGTCCTATATACTGTCACCAAAGCCATTGCAAGCTATTGGAGAATCTTAGTCTACATTGAGATTCTTTCACCTGCTCTAGTGTTTTTACCCAGGTGAAGGGGTCTTAGCAGGGTGATAAGACTCTTAAAGCCTTGTACCTAAATAGGGGAGAATTCCCTCAGTGCAGGAGCAGAGACATACAGCTGCAGGCTGTATTCAAAAGATGCTTATGCTTGCCAGAGTAGAGGTTACTTCTGGGATAGTGCCACAGCACAGTGTATTACAAGAACCATAAGCAGTTTAGTTCCTATAAGTAACTAGGGATGTGCTGTTGTAAGTCAGAATTCCACCCCCCCACCCATTGTCTGGAGCAACCCAGAACTGGAAGGGCACAACTATGGCACAAAAGTGTAAAGTGCTCCATCTGGCGACGAACAATCCTCAACATACTTGCAGGCTTGGTGGCGCCAAACAGACTAGCACCACAACTGAAAGGGACCTAGGGGTAATAATAGAACAACATATGAACATGAGCCGTGAGTACAGTGCTGTAACCAGCTGGGCAAACCATACTTGGGCATGCATCAACCAGTGCATCTCAAGCAAAACCAAGGAAGTGATTCTTCCACTTTACTTAGCATTGGTGAGACTGCAGCTGAAGTACTGCATCCAGTTCTGGACACTGCACTTCAGCAAGGATGTGGAAAAGTTTGAGAGAGTCCAGAGAAGAGCCACCCATATGATCAGAGACTTGCAAGGCAAGCCATACAAGGAAAGGCTGAGAGACTTGGGCCTCTTCAGCCTAAAAAAGAGAAAGCTGAGAGGGGACTTGGTAGTAGCTTACTGCTATACCAGGGGAATACATCAAGGGCTCACCCTTTGGGAAAACCAAGAGTAATGGCCACAAGCTTCTGGAAGACCATTTCAGGCTTAACACTAGGAGAAACTTCTTGACAGTTAGGCTGTCCAGACTGTGGAATAAAATCCCTCCAGAGGTGGTGCCGTCACCTACCCTGGAAATCTTCAAGAGGAGACTGGACAGTCACCTTGCTGGGGTCACCTGGACGCAGTTGTCTTTCCTGCCTAGTGCAGGGGGGCTGGACCTGATGATCTTGGGAGGTCCCTTCCAGCCCCTTACAATCTATGAATCTCCTCCCTCTTCCCACATACGTCTCTGGGATTTTAAGTTACATGTGGCTGTTCTAAGAGCTGCATGACTGAATCTTGCCTAAAGCCGTAATATTTGAACCTGTGCCATTAAATGTGTAAAATTAATAAGTAATTAATAATGTGTAAAAAGGAATATGTTTGTTTGGGCTTGGTTTTCTTTGGAGGAGGAGAGGGTTTGTTTCTATGGAGTAAATGTTTTGTTTATCCTCTCTACCTTATCTGTCTTCTCTCTTTCTACAGAATGTACATTACTTGGGTACTGATGTAAGTGATTCACAGCTCCAAGGTGCATGTGAGAACGTTAAGGCTGCAGGCTTGATGGATAAAATTGAGTTACTTAAAGCTTCTGTGATAGGTAACATTTGGAAATACTGCAAATCATAAAGCAGACATTAAGGATTGTAGCAGTTCCAGAAATTATAGTTAATGCTGAGAATTACAGTACAGTAAAACCAAGATTTTCCATTTGTAACTGGGGACTTCCCTTAATGGTTGTGACATGCTATCTTTTTCTGTTCTCTCCCCTTTGTGCTGTGGTAAAAATAAACTATCTGAATATAGGGCAATGTAAACATTAATTCTGTACCTTAATGTGATATTTCAAGTTTAAAAAAGATATTGGTGCATTAGGTAAAAGTTCTAGACGCTATCATAACAGCAGAAAAAAGTGCTATGAATGCAGCTTGTAACAGAGCTTTTAGCAAAGAAACCACCATAATAACTTGTTAAATTACATGGAGAATTATTCTCTTTGGCAGTTAATATATTTTTAATGGCCTTAGTTTTTTTCTGGAAGATGCTGTCAGTTTGTTTTCAGTTTATGGGCTTATTTTAAGAGAAGGTAATTGCTTTGACAATCTGGACAAACCCTCCAAACCTGGCCCTGAACTATCCTTCTGAAAGACTATCCCCATATTACAGCAGATAGCATAATCCCTCCCCCCTTTGTCTGACACCTTCAGCTTTTTGTACATTGAAAATGGAGGATATATATTTATTCTTTACTTGTAAAACCTATTTCATACCTGATTGGCTTTAGAGCCCTTAGCCTGGCTTGGTGTATAGAAGTAGTCTGATCTCAAACCATCCCTCTGTTGAGCAAGTAGTCAATGCCTTGTGTTTTATATCTTAGTCATTGGTCAGGATATGTAAATGCTATGCTTTTTTGAGAAAGATTGCATAGCTGTCTATTTCAGTTGCAGTGAAGTGGTTTTAACTCTGGACCCAAGGACATTCTGGGAAACAGCTAAAGCCATTCTCAAGAGATTGACCTTGTCAGATAGCTCAGGTGCATGGAAAAATAGTAGTTCACAGAGCTGGCATGGAAAACTCAAGCAGTTGGGGAAAATTCAAACACAGAAGCCCAAATAAAACTGAAATGAATTGGCAATAGCCAGACCTACCTGCAATCAGATTTTATTAAAAATCTAACATGTCACTTTCAATTAACATGTTTGCATCAGTTTCTTTCTAATGAAAGAGAATGTGTCCATGCTGGGGTTTGGAGTTTGTATCTGGATCCATCAACAGACACCATACCATTTTATTGCCTGTGAATAGCTGTTTTAGATGCGTCTTGCAGCTGTGAAAAGTGCTTGACGGTGTTAGGAACACATTCTGATGACACCTGCTGCTGGATGGTTGACTTGCATGTTTAATGCAGATTCTCAACCCTGGGGTGCTGTTAGATCTTCCGAAGAGTGTCATGAGGATATAAGTGCAAGCTCACATCCCCTGCCCGGCCAATCCCCTACCCCACTGCCCAGCCCCTTTGCTAGGAGGAAAGCACTATAATACATACTCTTGTTTTTCAAATTGGATAGCACACAATTTTGCAAACGTTATGATTAGAGGTGCGCCAATATATTGGTTCATATAATATTGGCACTGAGAAAGGAAAATTGCTATTATTGGCAATCAGCTTTTTTGGCCAATAATGTCACTGATTAAATACTGTGTGCATGCATACGAATGCAGCACGCACATGGCCAGGAATGCAACCCAGCAGCTTGGAGAGTATCATCCAGCCAGTAAGTCTGGGGGGAAGAGGCATGGGGGGCAGATAGAGGCCCCCACAGTGAGGGAAGGAATGGAGTTGGGGCAGGCGCTGCCCAGCCAGGGCAGGGTGCAGGATGGAGCCACAGGCAGCTTATCTGGAGGGCATGGGAGGGTAGGGGTGGGGATGGATCTCAGCCACTGCGTGCTCCCCTGAGGAGGCATGGGGGGCATGTGCCCCCCCCATACACACAGTCTCATTTGTGTGTGGGGCAAGTGTGGGCTGCGCACTGCATGCTTAGGGCCAGGGGCTGTGCTGGTCTCTTCCTGGGGGTGAGGGCTGTCCCAGGGCTGCGCTGTGGGCGGGTGGGGGCAGCTCTGGGAAGTGGAGGCTACAGTGAATTTTAGGGTGGTTGTAGACCACCCTGCAGCCCCCGCCTTCTAGCACTGCTGCCTGCCCCAAGCGCAGCCCTGCCCCAGCCCCCCTCCCCCCATGCTGGGAAGAGGCCAGCGTAGCCTCCGGCTCACCCCACACGCATAAATCCAGGGGCATATGCCCCCTATGCCTTCCCCAGGGGTGCGCACAGCAGCAGGAGCCGCCCCCACCCCCAGTGAGCCAGCCATAGCTCAGGCCCATGCCCCACCCCAGCTGGGCAGCTCCTGCCACTGCCCCAGTCCCTCCCTCACCATAGAGGTATCAAAGACTGAGAGATTTAATAGTAACCTTCAGCTACCTGAAGGCTGGTTCCAAAGAGGATGGAGCCACACTGTTCTCAGTGGTGGCAGATGACAGAACAAGGACCAGTGGTCTCAAGTTGCAGCAAGAGAAGTTTAGACATTAGGAAAAACTCTCTCATGAGAAGAGTGGTAAAACACTGGAACAGGCTACCCAGAGAGGTTTTAGAATATCCATCGTTGGAGGTTTTTAAGACCCACCTAGACAAAGACTTGGCTGGGATGATTTAGTTTGGGATGGTCCTGCTTTCAGCAGGGTGTTGGACTAGATCACCTGAGGTCTCTTCCAACCTTAATTTTCTGTGATTCCATGATTTTCTATAGGTCCATATGGAGATTGACTTCATAATTGTAATACTTCTCTCTGTCATTGACACCTTCTTTTCTGTCTGTGGTGTGGATTCTCTTGGAGATGAAAGCCATTTGGGTTAGAGCAGGGTTCAAGACTTCTTTTGTGATCAGGTCTAAGTGTTCAGTCTGTGAAAGGTATACAGGTTATATTAGTCTACAGGCAAAAGAAACCAGAACTAATGGCAAAGGTGATATCTTTTATTTGACCAACTAGATATTTAAAAAAAAAATGTCTTTATTTGCAAGCTTTTGGGCACATTCACCCTTCAGGCATAGGAAAATGCAAAGATTATAATCTTTTTCCTATGTGGAAATGAATTTCCATATTTCACAGGAGAGCTGAAGGTGTTGTAAGATAGATCTGGTTGGAATAGTTCATTTTGTGCAGAGAAGTGTATGTGCTGGTCCAGCAGACTCATAATATTGAAGAATTAAATGCTGTGTGAGAGAGGATCTTTATTTTCAATGTACTTGAACTATAGCTACTAGCTAATTGCCTTCTTTTCTAAGTAAACATAAGAATTTGACTTTTTATTCTGCAGCATTGCCATTCCCTTCAGAAAGCATTGATGTTGTCATTTCGGATGTTCCTTTTGGGAAAAAGTTCATGATAACAAAAGACATAAAACTTGTACCAGACATTCTTCGAGAAATGGAAAGGTATGTGTAATATTTGAAACACTTTTGAAGGTCATATGATCTTGATCATTAAAAAGAAAATAAATAGAAAGAGAGAGAGTTTTATTTATTCTCAATGATCTGTATCCTGTGGTCTGGACCTAAAAACGTATTCACAGAAATCCTGTCTACGTTGCTTTACTTCTCATAAAACTGCCTCTGCAGACTGTCACTGAAGGGGCTGCATATCTCCCCTGGCAAACCATGGAAGCTCTGACAGCCGTGAGAGCTGTCAGGGAACATCCCTGGTATGCATCCTTGATGGATGTTCAGGAACTGAGAGTCTTTTTTCCTAGTCTGTGGTGACAGAACTTCCCCCTCTTCCTGCTCTTAACAAATATAGGTCTGTTTCTCTCTCTTCATATGTGGATATAGCTTACTAGTATTTTGTCTTTTCAGACAAATTTTTGTCTTGACCTTTTGTGCTGCTGGCTGGGATTTCTGTGGTGGAGTCCAAGAAGCTTATGGCTCTCTAAGTGGGATATCCATATTTGATGCTCATGCCCAGTGATACTGGAAAAGACTTAAGATATTTTGAATAAGAGCAGCAGTAACTGTATTCCAGTTCTATTTTGATGGTATTATTTTGGTGAAAAAGGGGGGACTCTTTTTTTCAAGCGTGGATGCATTTGAAAGTAGAGTTAGACCATGGGATAAACTTGAAAGGTTTGGGGGGCGTTGTTTGTTTTTTAATCCAGGTCTCTCTCATTAAATCACAGGTTCTTAGCATGGGTTTTACAAACAGAACAAATTTTAAGCTATTGGCATCCTCCCTTTCTTTATGGTTTAGGAAGGAGGGAGCATGGTATGGAAAAGGTTGAGCCATTTTATTAGACTTTACTTTTGTTAGACCAGTAGAGTAACAGCTTATACTTATTCCAGTAGAGTAACAGCTTATACTTATTCAGTACTTGGCCCTTATTCAGTCCCCCGTGCTCATGGCTGTATCCCATGACCTTCCCTGGCCCCAGGGCCCCATTCACTCCAGCCCCTACCCCTGGTTCTGCCTCTGTCTCACTTGCTCCCTCACCATGGGGGCCTCAACCTGCCCCCTGCATGCCGCTTCCCTCCCCCACACCCCTTCCCCTTCACACACTTGCCTGCTGGGCACTGCTCCACATGCCGCTGGGCTGTGTTCCTGGCCGCCTGCAGGTTGTGCGTCTATGCACCCCCCTACACACACACTACAGCCATCTGGAGTCTGCATCTGGGCTGCCCTGAAGTCCTTTGTGCTGCCACCACTGCCCTGCAGGGCAGCCCAGAGGTGGTGGTGATGACGGCAGAGCAGAGCCCAGGCATGGGCTCCAAAACCATGTGCACTATTAACACATTTAAAAAAAAATGTGAACAACAATTAACACGTTAATCATGTGTTAACCACAATTAATTGACAGCCCTAATCAGGACCTGTTTGTAAACATCCATGGGCAGTCCTGACCAGTAAATAGTTGAAGTAGAAATCACACAAGTATTTTGGGCTCAAAATACTTGTATTGGACACAAGTTTAAATTAGCTCAACAGCCTTAATTTTAAAGACAGAAGTCAACACCTATAGGAAAACAGTAACAGCAATATCAACATGTGGTCCTCCATTACTCCCAGGTGACATTCATCATTGTTCATTTTGCACAATGCAAAGTGCTGATGCCCCTCAATCCTGACTCACAGCCCCCTGGCCAAGCCAGTGCCCTTTAGTCCCAACCCAGAGTCCTCCACACACACCCCCCAGTCCTGCTGATGTCCCTTGCTCCTGACTGGGTGCCTCCCCATACCCAGGCCCTAGCCCCCCACTGTGTGGGGTGGGAGCGTGTGGCAGGGGAGGGGAGTGTGCCCACAGTGAGCACAGGGCTGCAGCCTGCCCAGACCAGCATGGGCAGGAGCTGCCACTATGGCCCAGCCAATGGGACCCAAAGCAGGGCGTCAAAACATTTTGCTGCCACAGCTGACAATGTCACCAGGGCCCCTGCACCAGCCACACCACCAGCAGCAGGAGGAGTAAGGCACAGTGTGGGGGGGGGGGGGTGCAGCTGTGCTGCCCTCCCCTCCTCCTGTTGTTAGCTGCTTGTGTGCCAGGCTGCAGCTCTACCGTGCTGCCATGGTCTGGCTGCCACTGGTCCCCTCAGGCCGCCAGTGCTACCCACCACTCCACCTCCCCTCCAGGGTAGAGCCATGGCCTGAGAGGAGCAGTGGCGGTGGGAGGAGATGAGGGCAGTGGAGGTGTTTCTCCCCACCCTGCCTCCAGCTGTTACTCCTCACACTGCTGCTGGTGTGGCTGGTGCAGGGGTCCTGGCAGCAACAGCAGCAGCAGGTCTCAGTGCCCTGCTCTGGGTCCCAGAGGTGGCTCTTGCCTATGCTGGTTGGCCAGGCTGCAACCCCACGGCACTCTGCCAGCCTACAAGTGGAAACCCATGGTTCCACATGGTTTTTCTCCTGTAACAGAGACAATCCATTATTTTCCACATTTTTCCATGATTGTTTGTGACCCTTTCATATATTCTTGTGACCCACTTTTGTGTTGTGACCCACGGGTTGGAAAACACTGAATATGACTCCTTTCTTTAGATCAGGGATTTTCAACCTTTTTTGGTTGATGTACTCCTGGTGGCCGGTTAAGAAGGAGGGAGTCCTCCACCCAGTCAATGAGCAGGAGTTGGGGAGGGGGGGTCCCCTGGCGGCTGATGGACAAGGTGGGGAGGACGTCCAAGTGCTGGCGGCAAAACCGGAAGTGCTTCTCCACACCACTGCCATGTATCCCCTGGAGCCTTCCCAAATACTTCTAGGGGTATGCTTACTCCTGGTTGACAACCTCTGCCTTTGATGAAACATCTGTAGGACTCAATGATGAATTCTAAAATGATTCTCCTTGACTTGTCCTAAGGCAACAGTCAACTAAAAACTGCCTGATGTCCTTGCAAAGCTGTATGCCATTCTGCAGAAGGTAGTGTTTCATTTGTGGTGTAGTTTAGAGCTTCTAGGGAAAAAGAAAACAACTCAAAGCCTCTGCCTCCATTAGTTAGACCTAGAAAAATTGTTTGAGGGAGATAGTATTCTCATCAGTGCGTTGGACAGTTTTAAAAATGAAGTTAGACGTGTTGTTATTACTATTATTATTTTATTAATCCTTTTCATTGGCTGAGGTCAGAAATACTGATGAGGTAATAAGGGTCCAGCTTTTCCACTTAGGAAAACTTTTACAAATAGTTGGATTTAATATTTGCAGTTAAATTATATTAATTCAATTAAACACTTAAGGCCTTGCCGTATAAAATGTCAGATTTTTTGTAGTCTTTGATCCATTTGAGAAGTTTAGATAAAACGAGGAATTTGACAAGGATGTATGATTAACCATGTGTCTTGTTACTGACAGAGTGCTTCACGTTGGAGGGACTGTGGTCTTGTTGCTTAGCCAGGACCCTCACAAGTACGTTGATGGACCTATTGCTAATTATGTTGAAAACGATGCATCAGTTAATATCACTTCTGATGGCACAAATAAAACTGTTACGGCAACTGACTCAAATCCCAGGGAGGAAAATGGGAGCCCACAGAGCATTTCTTCTTCAAATAAAAACATGGAAAGGGAACCCCACAACGATAAAATGAAGTGTTTTGGGTCTTTGGTACTTGTAGACTCCCATGGAGTTAGTCTTGGAAAAACAAATGCTTTCATATGTAAATATAAGAAAATGCCTACATCTGAGGTCAACAGCATTCTTAAATAATGCTTGAATGAAGTTGGTTTGATACATTTGAAAGTATAATTGTACTGAAACTTATGAACCCTGTTATTCTTAATTTTGGCAAACTGTATGTTTATTATAAGCAGATATTGCTTTATTTTAAGTGTTAAATCATTCCTTTTCCCTCTGCTGCTTTACTTGCTAAAGAATCCTACATTTGGACACAGTGGGTGTGTCTACATATGCACATTTATTGAGCAGTAACCAAAAAATACTGCACAGTATGGGCACGTGTCTACATGTGCATGCCTGTACTGCGTAGTAACTATGGCGGCTTACATTGACTTGCGCATAAATTTGATACCTGCATGATCCATGTAGCAAATTTATGCCCGATTAGTTACTGCACAGTAACACATGTAGATGCCTTACTACGCAGTAATGCAGGAGCTTCCCAACTGGGGCTGCCCAGCCACTGGGGCCAGCTGAAGCCCAGCCCCAGGACTCCTGCCTGGCCCTGTCTGCTGCTGGGCTTGGCTGCTCTCTGGCAGCCTCTAGCTGCAAGGTATAAAAGCCTGCAGCCATTTTGTGCCTTGGGGCACGCACTCAAGGGAGCTGGCAGGAGCTGCCTGTGGCTGTAGCACACCAGCAAGCCCCGTATGCCCCCAGTGGAGCTGCCTGGAGGTGCCAGCTGCACCAGTGGCACAGCCAGGATGGGACCCACCTGCTCCAGCAGCTGGTGGTCGCAGTGGAGGGCTGGGTGGCAGACCAGCGTGCATGGTGGGCAGAGGACTTCATCTGGGAGGCTGCCCAGGAGGAGGTGCAGCTGTGGGCATGCCAGGCTCACTGGGCTGAGCTGGCGGCCCTGGAGCAGCAGCATGTGGAGCTTCTGGAGCAGCAGCTGGCTGCCCAGCAGAGGCTGTGCCCATGCCCCACTCTGCTTGGCCCCCAACTCTGGCCCCACAGGACCTGTGGGTCCTGCCCACTGCCCCGCAGCAGCCTAAAGCAGGTCCCGCATTGCCTGCAAGCCACAGGCATCCCCAGCTTTTGCCACAGCCCCTGGACCCGTAGAGAAACTGTCTACGGCTGGGGTGCTGGCTGCCTGTCTGCCCTGGGTGGCCCGACCCATCAGCCCCTTACAGATGGACTCGGGCACAGGGTCAGGTATGTCAAGGGTGTGTGAAATTTGGGGAACAGGGTTTTTAGTGTTGGTGGGGAGGGTGGTGGAGGGGCACTCTGTGGGAGGGGGTTGTGTTCATTGAGGGAGGAGGGATGGGGTGTTTTGTTGTATAAATAAAGTTTGTACTGTTTGACCTTTGCGTGTGTCCTGGAGTGGTGCTGGGGGTGATCATGGGGTTGGGGGGTGTGGGCGGCAGGGCAGGAGTGGGGAGTGCAGGAGGATGGGGGCAGCCAGAGCCTCTTGCAGCTGTTGCCGAGGACCTGGCACAGCTGGTGGGTGTGTGGCTGTCCTGGGGCCTGGGTGGCAAGGGGCCTTTCCATGATTTTTTAACAAAAGTTGTTAGGGCAGTGGTGCTCAATCTTCTGGTCCTGTAGGCCAGGTGAGTGGCATGGAGCCTGTCTGCGAGCTGGATCAGGCATCATCCCAGGGGCACCCCTCCTGCCTACCGCATGCTGGGACTAAGCATCTGATACAGCATGTAGGGCCCAGGGCTCTCTCTGTCTTGAAATTTGGCTACAGGAGAGTGGTGCCACTCCTTCCTTGCCCCAAATTTCTGGACCAATGGGAAGCTTCATGGGTGAGATGATGTGGCATAATGGGCCAGAGCTAGAGTAAAAACTCCAGGATAAAGGTCTCCTAATTTAGTCCCTACTGTTGAAGGAATAATCTGTACAGTTGAATTTGCTGTTGAAAAGGGAAACATTTTGATAGGCTAATTTTTTTTTACTTTCCTAAATGTTTCCAAATTTGAGTAGAGAAACAAGTAAACTGAAATGGATCAGAAATCTTTTAAAGTGGCTCTAAGTAGTTTATATGTAGCAAAGGCATAAGAAAAAATTTTAAATTACTAAATGTTAATGGATTTTATGTAAGGAGATTTTTTTTAATGTGTAAATAAATATAGTTCTATTATGAGACCCATTCAGTGCTGTTTACATTATTTTCAGCCTACATTTTAATGCCACTCCTGTAAATAGCAGTTTACTGGGGAGTTTGGAATTGCAGTATTTTAGTCTTCAGACTGGAGAATAAACTCGGTTTGCATCAGTTCTTTGCATTTTTTTTGTTTTTAAGTGTTCAATAAGTTGTTTTTTTTATTATAAATTTGAAGAGTGCCATCTCAGTTGAAAACAACACTTGTTTACATTGGTTATTTCACTAATGTAAATAATATATAGATTCTTCAAAATGGATGAAAAGTGGAAGAAAGGTCACTCCAGCCTTGTGATTCTCAACCAGGATGTTATGAGATCCTCTTAAGGTTGTCACAAGGGGCAAGGAGACAAGTGCTTACTTGTTCCTTCCAGAATCATGGGCAAGGAGGTGAGCACTGTAATAAATTATTTTTTTTAACAAGTTGCCACTAAATTCCTAAATGTTACAGAGGAGTGCCTAGAGTCTAGAGAGTGAGAAATAATGCTCTAGCCTATAAATATGTAATGTAAAAATTGTTCTTTGAAGTTAAGAAATGGTGCAAACTGAGTTTACATAGACAAAATCATTGGTAACAGGCTTTTGCTGCACTTTCTAAAGTGTTCATATGTGAATTATTGCACATTGGTTCTGACTGAACAACATTTCTAATGAACACTTGGCAACTTTGTTAGCTTGGGACTGAATCTTCTGCAGTATGGCTGAGCATGCCATGTGCTGGGGGCCAGGGATTTACAATCATACATTTGGCCTATCATTTTCCTGATCTTGAAAGATACTGTGGCCCTGGATTTTTTCCGGCTAAATTACATTTCATTAAGATTACTTAAGAGAGAGCTTGGCTTTATGGATTGCTTGCTTGCTTGCTTTGTTTCAAGGTCTTTCTACCTGCAACACAGTCCTGGAGGTGCTGCAAAGAATTTTTGGGTTTTTTTTCACAATACCTTGTCTGTACAAAATGCTGGATTAAAGATTACTATATCAAATATCTGTTGTTCAGCAGTTTTAGTGAGGATTGAAATCTTATGCTGTGCAAACCCATCTGTAGACTATTTTTCTGCCCCAAAGAGCTTCTCATGCAAGACCAGAGACAACAAGAGGCTTGAGGGCAAGAGGTGTATCCTGTTAAACCAGCCATAGTTCATTCATTTGAGTTCTTACAGTACTTGTGACAGGTGGGTCTCAAGAAACCCTGAGAGGAAGTTGTCATAATTAGTGATAAGACATGATCATAGGAAGTGCCTGAAGAAAGTTGTTCCACTGGTGTAGTATGGAGACTTGGGTTCTTTTAAGGAGAGAAACGGCAGCAGACACAGCCCAGACAGCAGAGCAGGGGCTAGCCACAAGGAGGCAGGCAGCAAAGAAACACCGCTGCCTACAGTGCCGTAGCAAGGGGGGGTGGGGAGTAGGGCAAGCGCCCCAGGCGCCAACAGGCACTGCCAGCCAGGGCAAGGCACAGGATGGACCACGAGCAGCTTGTTTTGGCAGGTGTGGGGATGGAGGAAGGGTGGCTTCTGCCACTGTGTGCACTTCTGGGCAAACATGGGGGCACATTCCCCCCTAGATTTGGGGAGGGGGGGAAGGGGGCGGGCTGCTGCTGCAGGCTTTCCCCTGGGTGCCTAACTTCATTGCTACAGCACTGGCTGCCTAAGTAGGGAACTGCCCCTTAGCATAAAAGGGTGCACCTGCAGCTGGTGAGAACTCTGCCTGGCGAGAGTTGGCTGCAAGAGGCTAGGCAGCTAAGGAAACGGGCCACTAGGGCAGAGCCTATAGCTCATGGAGCAGGGAGGCTTCTGGGACAGCCGTCACCAGCTCCCATGGCAACCAGCCTTGGGGCCCTAATGATAAACCCCTGCAGGGCTGCAGCACCACCTGACCAAAAGGGGCAGGGCTGAGGCAGCATATAAGCCTAGGGCCTGGGCCAGGTCAGACAGTCTGGCCAAGCAAGCTGCAATGGGAAGCGTTCCTGGCTGCATGGTGTAGGAAGGGGCTCTGCTGACTCTTGGGCTGCCTTCAGGATGCAAGTAAGGCACTGGAGGCTGCTATCGGGGGGATATAACCCAGGGCAAGGACAAGTCTCACTGCTTCTACAGTAGGTTCCTGTTCATGTTTGGACCTAGTTTAGTTTATTATAGCTGGAGGGCTTATTTCTTTACAGCAGTTTGGGTTTAGGACTATCAGGGACTGACAGAGATCCCAAGAGTGTCTTCAGCCCTGCTAAGGGCTTGAGACATAGACTGGGTTTGAGCCGTATAGGGTGGTAGCCTATGGAAGGACTATAGCTGAGTGCAATTCAAGCCAGATTGGGTCAAGGAGTCCAGTACCTAAAGCAAGGCTGAGGCCAGGGGCCTAGGACTGAAGTAAATTGAGATAAGAACTGGTGCCCAGAAAGCAGGTCTAGCACAATGGGCCTGGACTAAAATACCCAACTGGAGAAAAGGGACAAGGGAGCAATTGTACAGTAACACCTGCAAGGCATGGCATGGTTGTATGGGAGGTCGGAGGCTGTAACTACCCCTTAGGGCTATAGGTGTCCTGGGGACCACAGACAAGTCAGGAAGGCCCACTTGGCCCGAGAGGGGTAGAATGGAATACAGCAAGGCCTGGGAGAGGCCAGTAGAACTGGGACTTGCTCTAGGACCCTTAAACAGCCTTCCTTTTGATCAAATGCATCAAGGCATGGCAACTGAAAGGGAGGGCGGGCACCTCAGAGCTAGAGCAGGGTAAGGGTTGCATGGCTGCCGGGAGTGTCATGGCTGCCCCGGGAATCCAAGCATTACAACAATTGGCTATTTGTAACTGCATGTGTATAGGAGACCAAATAAAGAGTCATAATAGAAAGGGCAATCATTACAGATGCTAGCAATACTTGAAAAGACTACTGGGGAGCACTATTGTCTCTTACTGGTTCTGTGTTAGGAAAAAAAGAATTGGGTGGGGGAGGCAGTGATGGGTATAATCTTGCTCTGCTACTAAAGGCATTTTGCCTCAGCTTGCTGTTGTGCCATATCTTTACCTGTGAACTACTACTGTGCCTGGCTGCCAAGTATTTCCTGCTCTGCCTACTCAATCTGCTGTTCTGTTTATCTGCTTAATCTGTGACTTAATTTTCTCTTTTTGCTTTTTTTACTGCACTAAGCAGACTCTCCCCATGGTGCTCACTACTCCTATCTTCTGCTCCATTGTGTTTCTCTTCACTTTCCCCTTTTCCCCAAGCTGTTATTCTTGTAAGATCTATCTTCTTTTTGCTTCTCCTCCACCATCTGTTTCTCAGTCATCCCACACAGTCTGCATCCAGTATATACGTTTTCCACCTGCTTTCCCTAATCATTCCTCTGTACCCATTCATCTCATACTATCTAATCTAATTACTGTGTTGCTTTTATTCCTCACTCTTCCTCCATCAGTGCGTGCTCTATTTCTAACAAGCCTATCTCCCTCCATAGCTACCTCCCCCTCTTTCTAGGGGTTGTAAGATCAGTTGCTTACCTCTCCCAAACCCTCTTCTTGGCCACTCTGCCCAGGGTTGGGGTAGAACCTGGGGATAAGATTGTGTAAAAACACTACTACTAGACCCAGAGCAGCAAAGACTTTTGTGCTTTGCTTTCTTCACTTGTGTTGGCTGAATAAGGCAATAGATATTTCACTGGAAAACTTGTTCCTGTAGTGATTGAAATGTTTGTTTCTCCCCATTGCACTTCATATTCCAATCCCCTCCTCTCATCTGTTACAGGCCCTCAGTATTTTATGATGTCATATCTGTGACAGTGGATCTCTGATCTATATTAATGAAAAAATTATAAACTACGAGCTTAAATTCAAGTAAGAAATAGAACCGAGCAGAACTGTTGTTGTGACAAAGAACATTCACACAGGCGCATAGGAAAAGCTGCAGCTAGTTGTCAGTAAAACATGATGTACTTTTGAAGTCACCATGGGTGCCTATACACACAAGAGGGAAGAGGTTGCTCCAATGCACAATAATTTGATTGTGTTGGAGCAGACTATTAATCCAGTCTGCTAGAGGTGTGGCAATTACTACGGCCTTGCAGCCTCCCGCACTTTGTGTATCAATGTCCATAAGCATCAAAATGGCAGTGGGGGTGCTTTATCTAAAGCTTATTCAAGCCCACGCCCACCTCTTTCCCCCCCCACCCCCTGATGTGTATAAACACTCCATGTCTTTATCTCAGAGCACCGAGCGTGCGTGCGTGCGTGCGTGTGTGTGAGAGAAATGTGAATATTGCCAAGCAACCATAGTTATTTTGCTGGTAGGTGGTGAAGACTGATTGGACAGAACTTGCATAATACCCTACATACCTGCATATATTGCATCCCAGAATATAATGCACCTCCTGCTTTTGAAAGGCAGCATGAAGGAAAGATCTTGCTTTATAGCATTGGTAAATGAGTACCGCAGCTAGGGAGCTGAACTACCAGCTCCACCTGGTGAATGAAGCTTGTGGACTGACCTCACATGCTGGCATGATCTAGTGCCACATCATGCAACTGGTGTCTGGAGACTTGGCAGCAGGGGGAATGGTGGCAGCATTAATTGCTGTGGCTCCCAGAGCCATGTCAGTAGCTCTTGCTCTCTTGCCATCAAGTGTCCAGATTTGTAGCAATCCATGTACTCGCATATAATGCACACCCCAATCTTCACCACCTGATTTCTAGGGAAAAAGGTACATGTTTTATGTCACAGTTCTGATGTGTGTTTAATCATTGCACAAATTAACAGCGTAATTCAACAGAGCTTATCATTCTGATGTACTAAATCATACCATACATGACACATTTAACTAAAAGTAAGTAAATTTTAAGAAGTAAAACCTCTCAGTAGATTACAGCATTGTCAAGAGTGAATATTTTAATCTAGGGGTGCTCAACCCCTGGCCCATGGGGTCAAAGATCATCATGGGTCCAGAAATTCAGGGCAAGAGGAGTGTCGCTGATCCCCTGCTACCAGACCCCTGGACAGCCCCAGGCCCTTCATGCTGCAGGATGCTGGGGGCCTGACACTGCCCCCACAGCCTAATCCCAGCATGTGGTGGGAGGGATGGGACAGTGCTGGGCCCTCCAGGCCAAGTCCCAGCAGGAGGGGGCAGTACCCAGTACAACCTGCACACCAACTCTGTGCCACTCATCTGGACCACCAGGCCAAAAGATTTATCACCACTGTTTGAATGTGTGGGGAAACAGATGATACAAGACACGAGTAGAAGGTTCTGTGAACTTCCCTTAAGCCATACCATTTTACCCCTGCTTAAGGATCTGGCCATTTGATTTTGAAATTTATGCAAAAGAAATAAATGTAATGGGAGCCTTCTTTTCTGTGGTGTTTTCCATTAGGTGCCATGTACACTTATTTATATTTTCCCAAGATAAAGTCTTGTAAAGACTTCAGGCAGTGTTTTGGTTTGCATACCAGAGAGAGAACTTGGATGGTTACTGGAAAAACAGAAAGCTTGATAAGGTGCAGGCTATGAAGTTTTTTGGAAAGCTTCTTTAATAAGGGGAAGGGTTTTCAGACCACAAGACAGGTAGGCTTGGGGAATGGCACCCCAGACCAGGAGGAAGGGCACCTGGTTTCAACCTACATTCATGGTTAGAGTTCAACTTTAAAGAGAAACAGATTCAGAGGGCAGAAAGGGTATGCAGAAAAAGTGATTGTTCCCATCCTGTCCCTGTGGTTCCTGTAGAATGAGCACTAGGATCTGGGGGAGGGGGCAAATGATCCATCAAAGGCAGTACTCTCCCACTTCTAATATCTTCATTGGAGGTTGTGACTACAGCAGGTGACTTCTACCTGTGTAAGCAAAAAGCATGACTGCAGGCAATTGTTACATATAGACATGTTAATACAAGACACAGTTCATGTTATTAATTCCAGGCTGTTCTTTGCAGATTGTAGATGTGGGCCATAGGGAGAAGCAATAAAATCCATCTAAATATTAACAGAAATCTTGCCATAATCGCTTTCCCTCAGGTTTTTAATTTACACCACCATTCAAAAGGAAGGCCACTTCCAAGCCACAAACTTGCACTCAACACACATGCTGTTACTAGAGGGACTATTTTACTATTAAACTGTAGCTTGGCAAAAAAAGTTTCACAACTATGCGACTTCCAACAACACTGGTAGGATTCTGTCTCACACAATGGATCTCTCATCTATTTTAACAATGGACATTCTGGTTGCTTATAAATTACAAGGTAAATCAGATACGAAATAGAGCGAAGTATGACTTGTTTTGATAAGGAACACTCACTCAAGCTATATAGGAAGAGACAATACTATTTAATAGTAAATAAAAATCCTGTCCTCCAAGTCCAATTTCAGAAGATATGTTAAAACCACCATACTATGAAAGAAAGGTCTCTCTCTCTCTCACTGGGATACAAAGATGACTTTTCCTCCAATAATGGTTGTTCTTTATGTACAAACTGTTGAAAAATACAAATTGCCTTAAATTCTCTTCAGAGTTCTTCCTCACTTCTTACTAACCATTTAACTTTCCAGTGTAAACAGATCTCATCATCTTCATGCTGTAAGTGTTCAGCATATTGAACTTGTCCTTGAAAAGATGTTTCCTTTCTTATAGTCTCCTAGAAAGCAGAAGAGGACTCATCTTGTTTCTTGTCTGGTAAAACCCTTTCTTAAGATTTTTGAAGGATCAGGCTTTTGTGCTTGGAAACCTGAATTTAGCTTTCTGTTTACTTTTCCCCCTGCTTCTTTGAGTACTTGGAGAATACTGTGTCTGTTACTGAACGTTGTTGAAGATCATCTTCTGATAGCAGTCATACAGAAGAATCTCTGGCAGACTTTAGATGAATAATCTTGGTCCTGCTAGCAAATGGGTAGGCAGTGCAAAGACATCCTGCTGCCACTATAAATCCTAAACTGCAACAAGCACAAAATAGAGACCAGCTGTATCCATGTTCTACATCATCAGGAAGACTATATATGAATTTAGGTAGACGATTTAGATCATATGATATGCTTGCTGCATAAGTACACAGGGAAATAGTGCAAAATATTCCTGCAAGCAAAACAATCATATTGTTATAGTTAGTAGACTCATAATCTGGGGTGAATAAAACAGCAAACCCACCCCTCTTAAACAGTTACATCAACAAACACTAAGCAGTTATTTCTTCTGCTAGCACAGTGGGGAAACAACCTTTTTTTGGTAGGAGCGCCACAAATACCTTGAGTGCCACTCCAGTTCCCTTCCCCTGCCCAGCCTGTCATTCTGCTTCATTCCCTGTATTTCTTGCCTAATCTGCTGCTGTTTTCTGCTCCTTGCCCAATCTGCCACTGTGCTGCCTGTCCCTTCCCCAATCTGCTGCATGCCACACAGAGGCTGCTGGTGCCATTTGTGGCACCCTTCACATCCCACAAGATCCACAAGCAGCTGCTCAATGGTTTTGAATATACTTCATAACCTAATCTAGCTACAGCTATACCAGGGGTGGGCAAAATTTGTGGATTGGGCTGGCAGCTGGACTCCATTTCCCAGCAGCCCCTGCCCACATCACTGCAGCCAGTTTCTGGGGAGACCCCAGCAGCAGCGGGGCCTGACAGGGCAGGGGCAGGGTTTCTATGGAGACTGGCCCCAGCAGCACTGGCAGAGCGCACAGCTGGGTAGAGAGCTGCTCCGGGGCTGGGATCTTGTCCAGGGTGTATGGACAGTAGATCGGCTCTGCCCCAGCTTCAGACCACTGTGCAACCATGGCAAGAACCCGGCCCCGGCCCCAGAGCAGCTCCCTGGCCAACTGCACATTCTGCCAGTGGTGCTAGGGCCCATCTCCATGGAAACCCTGGCCCTGTGCTGTCACAGCCCTGCTGCTGCTGGGGTCTCCATGGAAACCAGCTCCAGTGACATGGGCAGGGGCTGCTGGGAAATGGAGTCTGCCTCAGGCCTGATCTAGCCCACAGGCTGGACTTTGCCCACCTCTGAGCTATATCCACTTTGCCTTTCCTAGCATAATTCTTGTGGATGTCCAAAGAGCCCAATATGTAGCTCTTCTCTGGCATCATTTAAGCCACTCTTCAAAGGTCTGTGTTCCTATTTGCTTTGCAGCAATGGATTAGGCTAGGCATTTTTCATTATGGGGTGAAATTAACCACACGTACAAGAAATCCTTGGATCTGCACTTTACAAACTTAATAAAAATATAAATCTACTGTGCACTTTCAACATATGGTTTTCAAAAAACTGTAACTGGTCAAATAATAATAAATTTCCTGTGGTACACAGAAAGGTACTGCTTCTCATTAAGGCTTCCAGCCCTTGCCATTGACACCTTCTCCAGGGCTACTTTTTCTAACAACAAGAAAACTTCTCCCATATTCATTATTAAAAATGTCTGAACAATTTTTCCTTAGACTTCTTCAGTAGTTTATATTAATGCAGATACTAATGATAAAAAAACTGCAGCCTGAGGAGTGAAAACTCCAGGAAGTTATAAGCGGCTGAAAATAGGACGAAAGGAAACCTGTTATGCAGGCTAAACTGTATGAAGTCATTGTTGCTTTTGCTATACAATGACGATTCCTCTTTGGTGGATTTAAAAAGGAAGAACCAAGGAGTCCTGTTCACTAGTCAGTCAGATTTGTGTCTTTGGACCTGTCTATACTCCTAAGCCAAGAGTGGACTGTATAGCTCACTAGGCCCTGAGTACCCCAAGAAATGCTGTGGCTCAGAGAAACAATTCAGTCCCAACTTCCTCCATTGCTCTAGAAATAATATTCTGCTAGTTCACTCCAGCTACAGACTGCTGACCTACCCCATACTAGCTCTGGAGTGCCAGCTGGTAAATTTTAAGGAGGATAAGCCAGGGCTTTGCCTATTACTCTCCATTGCCTTGCTTGTGCTAGGAAGTAAGCAATCTTGCAATACCTGTTTACCCCAGCTGATACGGACCTAAGGTCTATGCAAGGATTTTTAAGGGCACATTCTTTCTCCCTCTATGCACAGGGATATAGTGCGAGTTTCAGTCTAACTTTTAGTTTTCAGACACCAAAAAAAGTCACTCTCTAAATTCTTCTTTCAAGAAGGAAAAACAGTCCCTTGCTTTTTTCATGAAAGACTAAGAAAATCTTTCCCATTTTCTTGGGGGTTTTTTTGGCATGTCACTGTTCTCGCTACCAGACATGTCTGGCCAAACAACTGGTGTATGTCACAAAATGGAAATATATCCAACAGGAAATATCAAAGAAAGGTGCTCTCTTCTCAGTGATATTGTGCACCTAATCAAAGCTGCACGTGCAGTGAAGACAGAGGTGGCCCCATACCTGTCATAAGGAACAGAAGGCCTGCAACGTGCTGTGTGAGGCTTTCCTCCCAGAAGAAACTAACTGTTGCTACAATGCATCCACAGAGAAGAACTGCTGCTGCCATGCCCAGAAAACCAGCGGTGATTCTTCTTAAATCTGCACCCACAACAAAAGTACAGCAGTTATTAATGTAATGCACCTTTTGTTTGAAGGGGAAAAAGGAAATGACAAAGAAGAAGGCCTACTGGCAAACATAAGGTATGGTGAGAGGAATAACTGGAACCAATGAGGCTATATCATCTAAAGGAATTGTAAAAGGGGGCCAGGGAAAGGGGAACTTGGGCCCTACTTTGGGGATAGTGTATGAAGAAAGTCCCCTCAATATGTTATAGTAACCAAAAATGTAAGCACAATGGGTGTAGACCAGTAGTTGCCAGTCTCTTCAGGTTGCAGGCCAGAATGGCTCAGTTGGGGTCAGAGGCAGGCAGCGGCCAGGACCCAGCTGTTGAAGCCTCTGTCTGTAGGCCAGGTCAAAAGGCTCCATAGGCCGGATCCAGCCTGTGGGTTATAGGATGCTGACCCCTGATGTAGGCCAAACACAAGAGAGAGAAAGAGACTGCAAGCTTTATAATGTCACTACATCTACCAATGATCTTCCTGGACCTGGATAATTCTGCTCCACCTATTTTATACAGAATGTAGTAGAAGACATAAGAGGTTCAAAAACAAGTGAAGGGGAGGAAAACTGACTAAAGGAAATGGGAGGGCAGAAACTTTAGCATACAGTGAAAATGAAAACAGTAGGACTGTTTAGGCTGGAGATGAACAAGAGGATTTGACAGAGGCATAGGAACTAGTCTAAGGTACAGGGAAAAAACATCAAGAGTAGGTCACTAGTGATATAGAAAAAGGGACCATCTGAAACTGAGGTAAGAAATTTTAAGCAGCTAAAGCAAATGTTTTAAAATATTGCACTGTTGGCCTGTTGAACTCATTGCCACAAGATACAATTTAAGCCAACGTTTTACCAGGATTTAAGAAAAAAATGATTGACAAGGGTAGTCATGTAAATGAGACTTAAAATACCAAAGACTGGAAGAGAGAGAGAGAGAGAGACACACAGATGCTCAAAGCATAAGTTAGCCTGTAAGTGCTATGGGACTAGAGAAAAATCGATGCAATTTCTCACGTCTTCCTCTGAAGCATCCTGTACTGGCAACTGTCTAGAAACAGGAGGCTGGATGGCAAGGCCTGCTGTCTAATCCAGTCTGGATTAATGGTTTGATTTGCTTTTTCATGCAAAATGCCAGCAGTTACAGAAACTTTTGCATCCCCGTGCAGAAGCTGACAAACTCAGGTACTTACGAAGTAGATGCCACTCATCCTGCTGAATTGTCTTTGTTAAATGGAAGGGAATGTTTTGCAAGCGTATTGGCTGGGAGAAGTGGTACTTGATAGCTGTGCATCTCTGAGCAATGCCTTTGGGGGAAAAAAAAGAAACAGGCTACATTTGTCAGCTTGCCAAACACTAAGCAGGTTCCCCGTAGGACTCTGCACTGAAAGTTAGGATGCAATACACTTAGCCCTTAGCAGGTTCTCCCCTACTGTTCCATTTCTGGAGACCCAAAACTTTCCCAATGTTGATCCAAAATACCTCTCTCTCCAGCAGGGAACCATTTCTATCTAGCCAATAAGGAACACAGGTGTGTGTCTAAAATACTGTGCCTCTCAGAACTGAGGCACCTGCACCCCTTGTCCTTGGGCTCCACAGCCTGGGATTCTCCCCTGGGGAACACCTGCTGGCTTTTCTTTAAAAGACATGAGCTGGGCTGGCTCTTTGAAAGCACTGGGCAGGAGCAATGGCACCATTATACAATATCTCAAGGACGAAGAGTACTTGCCTAGGAAGGGGGAGACCTGGAAATTCAATTACATTCTGAGGGAGTTCAAATTCCCATCTCCCAGGACACTGTCTGAATATCAGGCTTAGAATTTGTTTTGGGGTGAGGGACACTCTCCACCTTTCCTGATAAAATGGTGCAGAAAGAAAAACAAGATTCAGTGGGTTTCAAGCGAGCAGGACTGTAGCCTGGTAGTTAAGGCACCTGCCAAGGGAAAAGAAGCTCCAGGTTCTGGTCCCAGCTTCCATGATTACTTCTGGTATTTCATCCAATGACTAGTCAATGTAAAAGAGAGAGTCAGTCTTGGGAAAAGGGACCAGAACCCAGGACTTCTTGCTTCCAAATGAGAATCCTAATCACTAGGCTACAAAGTCACTGACTCTCTTGTCTGTCACTTATCCAACTTCAAGTGGAGGGTACCTTATCCCAGCCTATTCTACAGCCTAGTAGGTTAGGCACTTTCCCAAGAAGTAGATATGGGTCTGAATCTCCTATAACTGGGGTCTCCCACCTTCTGGGTGACATAATTAAATATGAGGCTCTGGTATGATGAGTGCCACCAATGGCTGCATTTAAAAAGGGAGTAGTTGCCACTGCATTTTGTCAGGAGCCCAATCCTACCAGAGTGCACTAGAGCTACACAAGAAGCTGCTCGGGAATTGGGGAAGTCCTGGGCATATGTAAAAGCTACACTGCAAACATGTAAGACACTCCCTAGTCAAACAGAGAGATGCCCGATAGGGACTGACACCATGGCTACCAAGCAGGGGTTTTGTTTGGTACATGAATTTGAAAGTAGGTAGCTACTGCCTACCCTACATCCTCTTCTGGATCTGGCCATTAGGAGCTTAAGTCCCAGTTTAAGTCACTGGGACACTGGTGCCTAGGTACTTGTCACTTCTGAAACTAGGACTTAGGCTCTTATGTCACTTAAGTGCTTTTGAAAATGCTCCTGTGGGCCTTACATGAAGACAATCCAATTTAGAATGGATCTCCCCTCTCACTCACTAAGCTTCTGCCTCCAAAAACAGACTACACTGCAGCACAAGCAACTATATGATAGGATTTAATGCAAAGTCACTTGAGAAATGCCCAGTACTCTAGGGAACTGGACAGTGCTGATCTCTTCCCAGAAGACCATGATGACAGGACAGAGGGTTGCCTCATTTACTTCCCACTCCTGATGCGTTTCTATATGTGGGCCTTGTTGTGACTGCTTTCCCAAGGGTGAACAAAGGAGAAAAAGGTTGCAGGGCTGCTGAGCAAGGGTCAGACTGATTCCAGCTATTACCCTATACTCCACTGCTGGATATCCCCCAAAGACACCTTTTGCAGTTGAGTGATAACAAACCAGTGGTGAAAGGAGACATGATGTACCCCTGGCCTGGTGGTGGTCTCAGCCTGCACAGAGGCATCCTGTCTGGCTGTGTTCTTAACAAAACAAATGTCTGTGGGATCTGTCATTGGCACACTGTTCTCTAGCACCAACTACAAGAGGCTGCTGCTTTAAAAGCCAGTTGCTGGCCGCCTGTATGGCTAGCACTACCGTTTGCTTTGCAATAAGCTCATCTGGCTCTGGTACAAGGTAGCTGAAGTGCACAGTGTACTTCCCTGTTATTCAGCAGCATGCATGTTTACAGGGTCTGATCCTGCAAGGTGTTCAGTGCTCTCAACTTCCACTGACTTCAGCTGCAGCTCAGGAAGCTGAGCCCTTGGCAACATTCAGCCCGTATCCATTAAGCTCAGGGACACTGTGACAGATTGCCTAGCATGGGAGTGAAAAGCTTTGTTTTGGTAGCGAAATGATAAGCAGTTCTGTGGTATTTATTAATTCTGTCTTCTGCTCTGTGAAGGCAGAACAGGCTTGTGCGGGAGGGGGGTGATGCTGCAAGAAGCCAACAGACTCAAACGGATGTACAATTAAGGCTGTAAATAGTAATGGCTGTGAAAGAAGATGACAGGCATGCTTGAGTGACTGTAAATTATTAGGCCCTGACAACTAAGTGACAATATCTTGGGCATGAGTGAAACCAAGAAAAGCAGAGGAATGGCTTGATGGCTTCCCTGCCCCTGGAGGGGCATGGGGAGGAAGCTAGAAAGGATGAGAGGATGAGTATGGTCTTGTGATTAAAGCATTGAACTGGGTCTAGAGATGCAGGTTCAAAATACTGTGCTATATGATTCCTGCTTGGTGCTGGACAAATGGCATAGGCTATACCTGCATTACACGCTTACTGTGCCCAGCAGTGACATCCTCACACTTGCCAAACTACTTGGCACATGCTGTCCCCAAGTGGAAGTAATGTAACATTGGAGGGTGGGGGGCTCATTAGCATTGCTGACTGAAAGTACTAATTAGTCTGCTTTTAAACTGGCCACAAGTGAAATTTTATAGTTCTTCAAGGACCTCTGTGTATTTCTACCCGTAGCTCTTCTTGGTTGGACCTCCCCCCACTGCCAAGCCAGGTAGTTGGGATGGCAGGGGCAGCAGTTTCCCAAGTTTGAATACACAAAGGCAGCTTCACACCCTCAAAGAAACTCCACTCCTGATCAGGGCTTCCAGATGCTACTGTAATTGTAACAATAAAATTGAACCGATTAGATCAGGAGCACAGAGTGAATGACACACACAAAGGCTGGTGGAGTCCTATCTTGCCAGAGGCCTTAGGACAAAAGGGACACAGGGGTGGAGTAAGTGTGAAACTACACAGAAACAGAGTTGAAGAATGAAATAGCTGTATCCAGCATGCAGCTTTTCCTGAAAGCTTAGTACCAGCTCCTGTTATACAAGGAGTGACATGACTATAGTACTGAGACTCACAATTCCCTGTCCTCTTACCATGGTTCTCTCTCTTTTCACCATATCTTCCTTTAATGTACTCCTAGGTTTTGCACTTTTTTTTGCAGGCAGCTTTCAAAGGCAAAGGTATTTGGATCTCTGATGAGAGGCAAATGGGATGCTTGGTCAGGGAGACATCTGGGAAGTCTTGGCTGAACTTACCAGAGGCTGAGGAAAGGGCAGCTGGCCACAAGCAGCAGCAGGAATGGGAGCCCAAATGGTACAGACTCTCTTCTAGTTTAATTAACTATTAAAATCAACTAAATCCCATTAACTGAAAGGTGGAAGGGATGTTATGCCCAAAGCCTGTATTTGTCCATGCTACAATGATAAGGATGTTTTTTCTAACAAATTAAAGCAAAGAACAGCAGCTACAGGAAAGAACACTAAGACTTGTGTAAACAGTGATGCTCATGGGAGGGAAAAAGTAAAATGTAAGATTCTTAGGGTTAGAATTCAGCCCCATAGGATCCCTTAACACCTGGCTTAGCTCGCCTCTCCTGATCATTTGGAGCGCTCAGTGAAAATGCACTACAGTAAAGCTCATAAGGGTAAAAGTGGTATATCTAGGAGTGCTGGCAGATAACACAATGGCATGATTGGGGTTTGAGAAATATTTTGTGCTCTATCCTCCAAGTCACACAATCTACCAGCTAGACACCCATGACAGGTTGTGTGAATGGGGCATAAAATTCCTCAAACCCAATTGTGAAGCTGTCAGATGCTATCACCTGGGGAGCCCTGCAATGAGACCCTGCAGACCTCTCCCTCGCATGGGCAGGATACCTGCCTCCTCCTGAAGGTGCTTTGACACCACATATGCATCTGGGGAGTGAGGAGCTTCCTGCTCCTTAGCGGCTGCTTCCATGGGCACTTTTTAAAGGTTCAGAGAGCTGCTGAGTCTGAAACACGGGACCCTCTCCATGATTTTGGGCTCAGTGCCCTGCCCTTCTAAAAAGCAGGCTGCAGCTGACAGCCAGGCATCTGCAGAAGCGGCAACTGGGGAGCACCCCACTCCCCTGCTCCCACATTGGGAGAGCAGGGAGGGTCCCTGGTCTCTGGATCTCAGCACCTGGGGAGTTGTATTACAGAGTGTGCTGGGCTGCAGCTGTATTTTTTTAAACCTCCCTTGGTGCTTGGACCCAGACAGACAGGAGAGGCTCTGTGGCCTCTCTGGGTATCCAGGGAGCTTTCAAAAGCACAGCTGCCTTAGTACGCTCATTAAAGCTCCCCAGGTATCAGGAGCAAGAGATTGCAGAGCTTCTCCCAGCAATCTGGGTCCAAGCTCCTGGGGAGTTTTAAAAAATGAGGCTGCAGTCCAGCTGCAAGCATGTTCTATACAACTCCCCAGGTACAGAGACTTACAGTCCAAGACTGTGGGCAGCTGGGAAGCTGAAAGCTCCCAGCTTCCCAGTTGATGCTTCCATGAGTACCCTGGGAACTTAAAGTGGGGGTGCAGCTAGGGCTCCCAGCTGCAAATCTGCTTTTTAAGTCTTGGGGAGCAGTGAACCTGAGACTAGGGAAATGCTCCCAGATGTTGGACTCAGGAAGCTGTATGTCCTGGACTCTGAAACTGCCCTATGCTGGATCTGATGCTCAGCTGTCATGGGTCAGCCTGGAGATGCCACATGTTCAATTTAAGGCATGATACAAACAAGCCACAAAGATGTTGCATATTGTATGTGGAATATCTTTGTAGCTCATTTGCTATGTTATCACACCATACATTGGTTTAAACACGCAACCACATTACTATTTATAGTGTGATTAACACGATACTTGTACTTTAAAAGCAACACGTATCAGGGCTCCAGGGCTGATAGCCTGGTCAGGGAGAGCTGACACCACAACCTGGTCACCTTTGGACCTTTCCTTGGGACACAGTTGATTTATTCAAATATACTGCTCAAAAAATAACCCCAAGCCAAGCATCTCTCCTCACTTACGTAAGGTTGCAGGGGATCGAAGGTCCCTATGCCTGTGTTCAGTTGCAAGAGCCAACCCTCTTCTACCAGCCCCTTGAAAACATCTGAACCACTCCCACTTGTGTTGGTCAAAAGGGGGCTTGCCAGCCCCTTGTCCTAGAAGGAGCTGATGAACCCCATGACTGAGAACAAAAATAAATGCTAAGCCTTTGTATGTTCTCTCATTGTACCTGCTAATTTTGAAAGATTCCAGCTCCCCAGCTGATATAAATCAATCACGTAGCATTACTGATGTCAACAGAGCTTTGCCAATTATACCAGCTGAGGTGCTGGCCTTGAGACTTTAAGAAGTCAAGAATCATGGCTGCAGGGAAAAAAGTGATCATTTGAATACAAGTAAAAGCATGGTGAATGGGTTGTGGACAGGGGTGACCTGGAAATAGAATATCCATGCCAGCATGGGCATTCTCTATAGCTTTGGGGGATAGCTGACTACAACTACTAAATGCTACCACTAAAGGGATATGCAGTGAAATGTTACAGTGATTTTGCTCATGACGATCAGAAAAACACTTAAAGCAGTATCTATTTTTGCATTTCTCCACAATTTTGTATATGCTGCTTAGCTAAAGCTGGTAAGAACTTTACCACTTGCGTTTCCATCTCCTTTGGCATTACTAAAGCTGTTTATCTTATTCTTAGGCCAATTTGGGAAATGAGACATGTCTTAAGACAAGCATTTATTTAAAGGAGAGGTAATATTTTTTGTGCCAGAAACATTCTGACCCCTGCATGTCACAGTAGTAGTGTTTGCAACTGTACTACTCCTTTTAAAGATCAATCAAGAAAAGTGATAGCCCTTTCTAAAGCAGGTGGCTTTCTCAGCATGAAATTGTGTGTTACTTATTTGCTGTCATTAAAAAGGTTTGTTAACTACTTATCTAATATCAGAATTAAATGTTAAACAAGAACGTGCATTAAGTGAAAGTGTAAAATGGAAAGAATGTAAAGGGGCATGTTGCTAAAATTCCACAAAAATGTTTAATCTACAGAAGCAACTTAAAATATACTAGACCTGTTCCCTTTAATGTACAAAGGAACATCACACCATTTCCAAATGACATAAGGCTTGGCTGTTCTACAAAGACCTGGTCTAATGGATAAGGAAAGAAAAAGGAAGAAGAAAAGTCACACCACAGATTGGAGAAGCAAACAGTGCATATGTCTGTTGCCTATTCTTTTTAATTGCTGAAAAGAGAGAGGAGAATTATTAGCTGGGCTTCAGAAGAGCCACAGAGATTGTTTTGGAGAATCATTGCCTATTTTTTCTTCTAAGGAGTGCTGTTTACCAGAGAGGAGAGAGACAGAAAGACAGACAACTGCTTACTTAATTCACATTAGACTGTATGTACGCACGCAGGTGCACAGCAGCATAACTCTGTTCACAGGGCTGTAAGAAGGGCATCTGGTCCAGCTGCTGGTGGGAATGGCCAGCCTCTGCTATGCATGAAACATTGGCAGCATATCTTAAGTGCTGATTTGGGGGTTGGCTACTGGCCAACAGACACCTGCACAAACTGACAACTCTGCCAAGTGGCCCTGCATGCTCCAGGAGCTTTATCTGGATGCTCTTGGTGCCAGGGGATAACAACACAGTTGGTTCCACATTCACTCCTCCACCCCTCAGATAAATTATGAGGCAGCAAATGTCCTCTCACTGCTGGGCAGAGAGAGGGATGTCAGCCCAGGTCCCTGTGCCATCAAGATTTCACCCGCCTGTGTTTAGAGCAAAAGACAAGTGCAAATTCAGGGTCAACTATCGAGCAATGGTGTCAGTATGGCCACACTGAGCCTGCTCCCCAGCAAAGACCAATATCTGTTGATGCAGAAACCAGTGTAGCTCCTTCCCTGTTTCCCTGATGTGCAAGGCCAGTGCAGTCCCAGGAATGGTTTTGTGTCCAACCTGTCAGCTGGGACACTTACAGCCTTTGCATGGAAGTGGGATAATCAGCCTTGGAGCTCTGCTGCACCCACTTTTCATGTCTGGTTCCCCTATTTAGTAGAGGTGCACTGATACATAAGTCTGATATTGGATCAGTACTGATATAAAGAAAATTGTCTATATTGGATATCAGCCCAATGTGGTTCCTGTGCACAGCCATAGTGCAGAGCAGAGCAGAGTAGAGCAGAGCTGGCAGCACGGAGAGCTGCCTCCAGCTGGTAAGTCGGAAGGGGAAGGAAGGGGGGGCAGATCAATGCCCCCAGACATGAGGCAGGGGGAAGGGGCAGGCAGGTGCTGCCCAGCTGAGGCAGAGGGGGGCAGGGGGGCAACTTGTGGGGTGGGGGCAGCTCCCGCGGTTTGCATCCCGGGATGGCAGGGGACATGATCGGCGTGACGTGGGGTGGGCTGCAGCTGCAGGGTGGAGCCAGAACTGGAGCTGCATGAAGCTCTTATCAGGGGTGGGCTCATCAGGGGTGGGAGGTGGCTGCAGCCACCCCAAATTTCACTGCAGCTCCACTCCCAGCCCTGCACCACCTGGCACAGCCCTGGCTCAATGCCCTGCCTCCACCCAAGCGCTAGGAAATGCCAGGGCTGCGTCAGGGCAGGGCTGGGAGTGGAGCTGTAGCAAAATCTGGGGTGGCTGCAGCCTCCTCCCAGCACTGCTGGAGCCCGCTCTGAGCCCAGTCCCTGGCGAGAAGAGCCCTGCACAGCGCCAGCTGCCCCCCGCAGCTGCAGCCTGCCCCATGCCATGCAGATCCGAGGGCACACGTCCTGTGCGCCCCCTGGACAGCACCTGCCCCTACCCCCTCCCTCACCATAGGGGGCATTGTTCTGCCCCACCACACCCCTTCCCTCCCCCTCCCTTCCACCACACCAGACTTACCACCTGATGGCAGCTGTATCGAATAGGTATGGGCCAATATGTATCTTTAAATATCAACTATTGGTATTGGCCCCCATAATCTCTTTTGGTGCACCCTTACTATTTAGCTCCTGCTCTGCTGAGCTGATGTACAAGGGCTTTGGAAGAGGGCATACAACTCTATGGGGAATGCACAGTTGCTTATACTCCATGCAAGAGGGTCTCCCCAGGAAGAAGTACATGATGGTTTGGCATGCTACACCTGAACTGGGCTTGCTGCATAGTCACTAATTCCACATCATCATTGTGTCTTTTAATTGGCACATCATCACAGATAATGTAACAGCTTCATATGTTACAGGAGTTTTCTTTAGGGGTCAGCTGTATTGGTCTGGGGCTATAGCTCAGATGGTAGGTACGTGGGAAAGATGAGCCAGAACCTGGGATCATGGATGAATGCACACAGGCAATCCATCAAAAACAGAAACACACATTTGCCTGTAGAGCCACATATCTCCCACAATGACCGCTCTCTGACAGATCTCTCAGTCCTTATGTTTAAAGGAAGTTCACAAAACACCTTCAAAAGATGCACCCATGAACTCAACTTCATCACCACTCTGGAGAGTAAAAATCATGGACTGAACAGAGGCATGAGCCATCTGTCACTGGGGGCTGACCAGGGTCAGATGCATCACATCCATCAGGACAGGGCAAGATGAAATGCTCTGTGCTTCTCCATGGGGGGGTTACAGAGCCTGGCACAAGGCATGGAGTGGACAGTGCCCAGGGTACGATGGGGGGGAAGGAAGAATGGGAACTGGTTGTGCAATGCCAGTAGACTCAAGATGGGGGGGGG